CAGCCGGCAAGGCTTTATAGCAGGAACTTGCCCCATTTCTCAGTGCAAGTAAAATTCAACTGACGTGAAAATTCATGACTGCAACGAAGTTCTGACAACTGCAGCAGGGCAAAGGCTTATACTCTAACTGGTTCTAAAAAGAAAGAATTCAAGGGCCCTGGCTTGAATGGTAAATATATTTACCATTTGTATTTGTCATGAGATAGTGGCTCATCATCCCATAATTTCCTTTTTCCATTTGCCTAAATCATCCAAGATGACTGTTTTCTTGCCAATGGAGGCTCCAGGTTCACCGCATTTCACTCACTCTTATGTCCCTCAATACACAAATCTAAGTAATTTTCACAAATGAATTGCTACACTGGCTTTATAGGAAAATTAAAGAAACAAATCCTACAACACACTCAGTTAAACCACGCACAAACGGTTTTATGCCCTCTGTCAGTTTGGAACTCTATCAGATATTGCATAACCTGGTTGGTGAAAGGAAAGAGTTTCCAAATGTTATGTGTCATTATCTTTGTGTAACTTGCTGATCTGTATCTGTTCTAGGAGAAGAGTGAAAAAGAGTTTGGACTTAAAAAAAAAAAATCTGTTTTATAGCTTCACCACAAGAAGGAAGAGCTTCAGATTATTTTTAGGCTCAAAATCAGCTGAAATAGTACAAAGTGTCAACACAAACAACCCTTTTTAGTTATACAGGAAGTTACAGGAAGCGCCAAAACATCAAACCAGACAAATTATTCATATAAAGTTTTGGTCTGCCTTTCTGCAATCTGATCTTCATTTCAAAGTGAGAATTTAGCATTCCAAGGTAAATCTGTAAGTATTTCAGTCCATCAATCAAAGCTTTATGCTCCAAAGTCTGCTTAAGATCAGCCTTCACAAAACAGGTAGGGAAATGATACTGTATGAATCAACTCTAAATGTATATGGCTGTATCAGATGAGTTGAATCAATGTTTGAAAAACATATCTGGACTTTGTACAGCTTGTGCACTTTCCATTTGCAAAGACTTGAGGAAAACTGGGATAAGCGAGAGGAACCACTCTAATGTAGCTTCAATTAAAAAAAAAAAAATCATTCCAAGAGAAAAAACTCCAGTCTTGTAAAATCTTTACTGTTTCACATGAACTTCAGATATCTACTGGGAGGTATAAAGATGACCCTATGCTGTATCTCCACTGTTGCAAGTACCTCAATCCTCCCAGCAGCAGCCAGGCACCCTTGCCTGGGAAAAAAATGTGGCATGTTGGATCACTTGGAATCTCTCAACAGTGAGAGGAATTACATCTGCCTTGCCATAGCTCTGACATTGCATCAGGCCTGAGACTAGAAGGTGCTAGAGTCTTCTTGGGGCTTTTGTTTCTCTTTTCTTTTCATGTCTTTTCAGATGCAATTTTAAAAAAATCCCAAAAAAATCAGACTAAATCTAGTTCTTTATAGACAAAGACAAGGGGAAGACAGGCAAAATATAATAGTCCTAGCATTTCAGCCAAGGAATGCCAATTCCTGTCTTAACCAATGGTTCAAGAAACTTAAAATAAGTGATGAATAAAATAAAAATATGGGGAAAGAGTTAAGTGATTTAATGGAACATAAGACCACCAGCAAGGAGGGTTTTGTTTTCAGATTGGCTTTTAACATTTAGGAAGTTTCCTGTTTCTAAGACTGACTGCATAAGACAGAGGCCTGATGAGCAGCTCTGCCCATGTCAACAGCCTCCTTGACTGCAAAGTGTGTTCAGATGTCTATGATTATTTGTTTATGAGTAATACAGCATTGCGAGTACTGGCAGCATTGTGCTTAAATACTGCAAATTATATCTAATATTAAGCAATCTGGACATTGATGAGCAAGTGATCAGGCTTAATATACACAAGGGGGAAAACCATTCAGAGTGAGTAATTAGGTATTAAAGAGTATTGAAAGTATTAAAAAGTATTGAAAGTATTAAAAAGTATTGAAAGTATTAAAAAGTTTTCTTCAAAAAATAAACCTAGGTATATGGCAAATTAATGGAACTTCTTTGATTAAGCATATATATTCTTTGAAATCGCAAGTTTCTGATACTCTTATTCAACATATACACAACAGGAGTACATACAGAATTCCATCTTTACAGAATTGAAAAAGGATACAGATTACAAATAAATGAGGTACATTTAAGAAGTTTTAAATTACAGTTCCTCATTAATTTGTCATTTTAATCCACTGTACTTTCAATTCATCAAGTAGTGAAAATGTAAACTTGACTGCATTTGGTGAGGCAAGCTTCACACTACACATTAATTTATTTGAAATACACTCTAAGGGTGCAGAGAGAAGTATAATTTTGGGAAGAATCTTTTGGTCTACTGCCCATTACATTGGCTGCTGGACAATGTTAACTGTGCTATTCCCTGCCCCAAATAACACATACAAAAATAGTGAAGCCACCTGAAAATCAAACATACATTGCTTAATTGTTCTTTATCTGAACTGTATTTCTGCCCTCATCTCTGGTTTTACCCTAACTTTTGTAGCATTCTGCCAACTTAAAAATCTTACCTTCATTTTGATTTTTATAATACTCTTTCAGTAAATTTCTGCTTCTAAGATTCAAAGCACTCTCTGCCTTAGATCTCTTCAGAAAAAAAGATCTGTAAAGAGACTACTTATAATTACTTTTCCTAATTTCTTTTAGGAAAGCATACTTTATTTTAACAGTAATTAAGCCTGAAGTTCAAATTTCTATTCAGAAGGGTCTAATCCCTGGTCTTAGGGCATTATGGAGGTGTCTAGCCTCTTATATGAAGCTTAAAATCTTTAATTCAAAACCAGCTATGGGAAGTCCTTTTTTCTTTATCAGAAGAAAACAAGGTTGGACTGCAAGCTGATTCTTAAGCATTTTAGAACACAGCAAGATTATGTGTGCAGGCTTTGAGATGAAGATTCTCAGTCAAATCAGAACATTTTCTTGTTTCCAATTCCCAGAGTCCCATGGTATTAAAAATAAACACATTGCATGTAAATAGTACTTTGTCTAAAGGCAATAAATCTCACATAGAAGGTTACACATAAGCAGAGCCCCCCCAAATCTGCAGCAGAATTTCCCAAAGTAACTCCCAGCAGCTGAAACTCCCGTAAATGTCTGTTACAAACACAGTCCTGAGGCAGGCTTGGAAACAGCAAGATTAACACCAGGACTTCCCAGCGCAGCGCTGCGGCCAGCTCACAGCATGGTGCTGTGAACAGAAGCATAGAGCAAGCATGAGTACAGAAACCAAAGAAGTTACAAAGTGCTACTTTTTAAACCAATAAAGATCAAAGCCAGGACGCTGGCTGCTTCGCCACAGCACGCACATGTAAAGAATGGGATTTTCTTTCCATTCTCTGCTTCTCAAAATAACCTGTCAACTTTGAGGTGTCTATCCAAAAAAACATGTTTCTTCTGCAGTTACATAGGATGGTGATGATTATCTCCACAGGTGGGTTAAGAAAACAGCCAGTGTCACCTGAGCAGCATAATTAATATCCAATAAAAGAATGATCAGAGATGTAATAGTTTTTCTTTTAAAAGGAAATACTCCATTTTCAGAACTATGCCAACAAAAGAGAAAACATGAGGCTCTAATGACTAGCATTTAAGAGTTCAAGGACTTCAGAGGTAGGGACAGCACAACTTAAAATCCCCTACAGCCTCATCTGCTCTCAACTTCATTCTAACAATGATTTACATCTAGGCACTGCAGACTTGTAAGGAACACCTGCTTCAGAACACTGCTATATAAACCACTGCAGATTCACTCTTTATTAAGTCCCCACCAACCTAGAAATGCTTCTGCCAGGTTAACTTGGTTGCCACATATATTTTTGTATATTTCTGTACTTATATTTGCTGGTTATCGCCACAGCTGAATATAAACTTATAATATGCACAAAGGGATGAAAGTTGATAAACCAATCCCACAAATTTGCAAGTGATGCTGCAAACATTTCTGTGTAGGAAGTGCAGTGATACTATTCATTACAATGGCATCACTGTGAAAATCATGACCACATACTACAACTCTTATTACCTACAGTTAGAAACCCAGAGAATTTATGAAGCATTAGAAGTTGAGGAAATAAAAGCCAGTCTAGACTTCTCCAATAAGCTGTAAAATCCATTCTAAAATGTACTTGGCTTATTGATCTGTAAAACCCAACTATCTGAATGTCAGTAGGTAAAAGAGACAAAATCACTTGGAGGAAGAGTTTTTTTGTTTCTTTTGGTTTTTTACGCCAAAGCTTTTCCAATTTTACAAGACAAGACTTGTTTCTTCTCTTTAACAGAAGAGTTCTGATAAAATTCTGAGTTGTGCCTAACATCCTGTTGCAAATAAAGCTTAAAAAGCAACTTAGGAAGCTATTTCCTCTGTTTAACCTTTTTTCATATAAGGATATATTTTTCTATGTATGCCATAGCCCCAAAATTATAAATCTGAATTTCTCTTTATTATAATTTCATTTTTAATTTTAAAATATTCATTTCTACCTTTAATGCCACAGGTAACCCCCCATGACGAGAATATATCTTCTGCAGGTAGCAAGAGATTTGTGGTAAGAACATACTTTTATTTAGAATGCATAGTATTGGACTCACTGAGAACTTTCTCAATAGTGAGTTTGATGAACCACAAAACGGATGGAAATACTTCCATCCGTTTCTTAGAAACCTAAAATAAATGTTAACTGGCTCATTTTCCACTTAAGGTTTTACAATGGAGAATTAGAAGCAGACTTTCTAACCTGTGAGATGTACCTCACAGTAAGTCACTGGTCCTTGTGCCTGAGACAAACCACACAAAACTACCAAGTGTGTGAGCTAAACATTACAATGTAGAAACAATTCTTAATTGACTGAAATGAGCTGTACACTAAAAAAAGCTGACCAACAGGTGCTATATACATGAAAGTACACTGAGACAAGACCGTGAAAAAAAATACTTGAAACCATGCACATTCTGAATACTGACCTTGTTGCTCACTCTCTGATTCAGCTTTTGCAGGACTTGGTGCTACTGGAAGAGGCCGAGGAGGACGAGGCTTTGGAGTGGGGGGAGATATTTTTTTTCTTCCAATGTACTCTACATAAGTTCCTGGGAAATCCCCCCTCTCCCCTGTGGTTTCATTAAAGCCATTCAACCAACCAATTTCCTCAGGCTTTGCTTCTTCCCCTTCACTGAATCCAAGTGCTAGTAAGGTACCTTTATTCACAGTTAATATATCTCCTAAGTGCAAGTCAATATCTTCTTCTCGCTCTTTTTTGTAGTCGTATAAAGCTCTGTATTGATATCCCTCAGCACTCATCTTGGCAAATGATTTAACATTCAAAAGTGTTACTAAACAGTATTGAAATGCAATTGTCCAGTTATAGTTCTATATACAGAGAAATTCAAGATGAATTAAAAGGGATGACGAAAACGTCTCTTAAGTAATAAAATCCAAAAGATAATGAAAAAACACAGTCTGCCTTTTCACTGCTGATATTTTTACCAATGTATTTATTCTTAGTCACTGTCTGTTGCAGAAGTTAAAAGTTCCAATTCTTCTGTGTCTAGCAATACTCTTCCAATTAATTCTTTTCCTGGGCTTCCTGGCACTTCTTTGTCTTCATACACAAGTTCAACCGACTCTTCAGCCAGTCACACTTTCTTCAGGTGTATTTGCCACAGACTGCCCACATACCTTAAATATTCTGCCACCAAACTCTGCACACATGCTTTTCCTGGAAAGAGAAGAGAAATGTCATGAAATCATTTCACATTCACTTGATGATTGTGAACTTCGTATTCTACCTCTGACTTAAGCTTTCTGCAACCCTGGAAAAGACTCTGTCCCACACAAGAATCCTATGTGACAATAAAATCAAGCAAGAGCACAAAAAATATCTACAGCTAATGTTTGCATTTTTATAAAGGATATATGTCAAATTACTTGAACCAAATTTGTACCACTGCAGTATGAGGCACACTTCCTTCCCTGTGACTTACGGCTACTGAAAAGCCTCAGGGTGAGAGGGCTAAGCCCTGGAGCTGTTCCTCTCCACTCTAGTGCAGTATCTAACCTGGCAGCAAGATTTTATATACTATCTCCCCCGAGCCAGACAGCCACACCCCTTCTCCACAAAAGGTCTGTCAAGACAGAGGAGGAGCTTACTGTAATTAGCACTGACCACTGGGGTATCCAGTCTCCTCCTCTTTATGACAAGGGTGAGGATGGGTAACAATCCCCATCCTAAAGCCTGTATTTCAAAAACCTTTTGGAGGAACGCGTCTTCTTGTAATCTGTAGAAGAACCAAAGACTCAAAAGAACTTTTACTTGATGACTATCATATTTCCCCTTTTTCTTTTTTAAAGAGGGGCTTTACCACTCCCCTATCTTCCAGATGTTTTTTAATGTGTTTATGGTATAATACTAGAAAAACAATCAGCAACTGAAACAGGCACACCCAGACCACCTAAGCAGCCCTAGCAGGAGTGAAGTATCAGGGTACAGGCTTAAATTACATTAAAGGCAAGAGAACACAGGCCTGAACTTTTAGCTCAAGGTTGCCCAACCATAAAGTAAAAGAAAAATATGACTAAAACCCAAATCTATTTAGAGAACAGTTGCTTGAAGACATATAGAACAGTGAAAGCTTTCTAAATATTATTTCAACTGTTACTCATTTTCATCTACTTAAAAAGACAAGCCAAATCGTAATTTGAAATGCTATACTGGAAACCAGAAAGTACTAAATACACAAAGCTGCACTGAAAGTCCTAAACTACATCTGAATAAAAGACCTGCGAGAGCTGTGTAAAACCAGCAGGTAAATATTGACTATGTACTATGTATTCAATGTATAGAAAGCCCTTTTTTTTTTTTTTTTTTTTTTTTTTTGTGAAACACTCCCTTTTTACACTATAAAGAGACATCAGTAGACAGGGCTGGAACAGGGAACATCTGACAGCTCTTTTCCACACCATTTTTTCTAGTGCCTCAGTCATCAAGTCCTCTGAAATGTGATTGACAAGCTAAGAAGTGTTTATAGGAACGCATATGGACTTTCTGTGCCAGTGAATAAACCTGATCCCTAATTTGGGCTCCTCTTCAGCCCATCAGGTCCCTGCAGCATGTTGCACAACATCTCTCGTGACAGAACACAGAAGAAAATCTTGTTAAGTTCTACAAGAACTTCCTTATCATCCCTTGCAACCAGTTTTTGTTGTAGGAAAGAATTATGTGAGCCTGAATTAGACTTCCTATTTCAAAAAGCTTGCACATAAGTACTTATTTTAACAACTTGCAAATCTATCCATGTGTATTAGGCACCCAGCTCCCAACAAAGTTTTAATTAGAGATTTCTGCAGCCACTTCTGAAAAACCAAACTATGTTGCCTACCTGACTGATGCTACCAAATATCACAGACTTTGTAATTAGCATGAATAGTTTCACTTACATTTAATTTTACCTCTTCTACCAGAGAAAAGTCTACTGACAAAAACTGTGGAAAAAGTACAAGTACCGGTGCATCAAGTAAATAGCAGAGAAGCCCTCACAAAAGCATGGATTTCTCCTCTTTCATGTAGCAAGAGAAAAAAAATGCAGTTTAACAGTTTTGATCCAAGCATTATGATTAATACAAATGTTTCCAATCAAAACCAACTATGCACACAGCAAAGCCTGCTAGAAAATTACCACTTTGACTACTTTAAATACTCTGAAATATTTATTTTCTTTTTAAGGAAGATTCAACAAGTGCTCTGCTACAACTACTTATTTAACTCCTACTGCGTGTGGGCATTTTGGCAGCCAACGAAGTCTTCTAAACACTGCATAATTCAACTGACTTGACCTACTCCTCTGATCTTTTATTATCAAATGTATGATAGCAACTTTATGGCCATATATTTAAAATGAGTACTTCTGTCTCTTATTAATCTCTTGAACATACTGGAACTGGAAATGTTGTACTAGAACTTCTTATGACAATTTTAAAGCATATTTTAAAAACTCAAACCGTTAGAAAAACTCAATGAAGTTATGGTAGCAAAGTTTCCTCAGATCCAGTTTCCTTGGGGCTCAGAGCTGCAGTACCTGTTCATGCTCACTTATCAGCACCACCCTCAGTACAGAGTACCCGGGATATGCCCTCCTGATCTGGGGTGCATGTACCTGGAGACAATCCCGTGAGTCAGCCATTGTGAACTCCTTGGATTTATGCCTTTTTCTATTGTTACTGTGTCTCGGGTTCAGGGATGAACTAAGACTCAGAGTTCAAGAGCCTTGCATATAGATCTAACACAGGGACAAACACCAGTTTTCCACACCTGCTCAGTAACACCACAGTGTATGCAAAATGCCTCTTAGAGTGCTTGGCTAAGATCCTGCATAAAAAAAAAATTCCTTTTACTCCAATTGAAATTACACAGTCTCTACATTGAGGCATTTTGACTCAAGCTGACTGGTCCTTAAATATATAGCTTGGACACCATCTTAAATAGATTAAAACAAACAAACCAAACACTTCAGGAGAAATACTCCTATATTTGAGATGATTTTATTACTGGATTTCCATTTGGCTGGTCAAATGGAAAAGAAGGAAGAAGTATTGGAGGAGAATCAATGTTCATTTGTTTTTTATTTACTGTCTAAGAGCATGATGCCACTAAAAGATTCCTGAGTTCAGGCAGAATTCCGATCTCTCAGCAGAATGGTTTATATTGAGCATTTCAGTAGGGATAAGAATTAAAATTCAACAGAAAAAGTCGAGACATTCCTACAAATTTAGGTGAAAAACGAAGGGGACATGAAATCTTCCCCTTCACCCTCCCTTTCTTCCCCTGTTAAAAATGACGTCTGGCTCACACTTCACTGGTACCCAAGGGTTTCCTCCCACACAAGATATCACGTCTTTGGAGCTGGAGAATAAAAACTTCTACACTGCATTTACATGCACAGTGATACCAGAGGGGTGGGCTGTTACTGCTACAGCATGCCTAGTACAAGATGCAAAGATTTTCTTCATACCTTTATATTAACAAATTTAATAACCATATTTCCTTGCACTGCAATCTCTCTAACAATTTCCAAAAATCCCTAGAGAAATAGTGCCTAACGCAAGCTCCCTTCCACTGCAGGATAAGCTTGGTAGATAGAAGAGCTGATTAACATACTCATTGGGACACTGAAATAATGAGAATTGTGGGGTAAGCAGGGAAATTTGCTTGGAGACCAAGTCTTCTCCCCACTAGGTGTCCACACACCTGTGACTCAAACTGCAGCTTTCTCTGAAATATGCTCTCCAAGTGGAGACGACCAAGTACCACATTAGAACACTATTTTCTGCAGGAAAGTGAGGTCCGTGATGTATCACGTAGTAATACCTTTATACCACTTACAGTCTGAAATAATTATTTTGAATCTGTGGAGATTCTATCACAAGTCTTTGAACGAGTCCAAATATATACACACTGAATTAGTACTCTAAGCACTATACACCGCATCTCATTCTGAAACATCTCAAAGACCTTATAAAGGCTGCAAACTATGGACGAAGGGAGGTGATAATTAAAAAACTTAGGAAAGCAGTACAGTCTGAACTTCCGTCCCGCTGAAGAGGCGGGCAGGTTAACCACTCCGGAGCCCCGCGCCGACACGCAGTCCCCGCCGCAGAGCAGCCGCTCTCCGGGGCCGGTGCTCAGGGGCTGCAGCCCCTCCACCGCCGGGGCAGGGCTACACCGAGCTGGCTCTCCCCGGCGCCGCGGGGCGGATGGCGGAGCCCCGGACACGGAGGACGCCGTGCCGACCGCTCCCGCCCCAGCGCTCCCTATGGACACCCCTTCCGCCGCCCGGGGGGCTGTATCCCGGCGCGGGCACCAGCCCGGCTCCCCACGCCACCCGGGCCCGGGGCTCCCGGGCAGCCCCGCGGCGGCCGCTCGCCCTGCCCGTCCAGGAAGCGCCGGGCCGAGCCGCCCCCGGCCGCGAGGGGACAGGCTGCACCATCCCCGGGGCTCGGCCTCGGCAGCAGCGGACGGCCCGCCCCGGCACGGGGAAAAAGTTGCGCGGGGCGGCGCTGCCGCTCGGACTGTCACCCCGCAGGGGCGGCCGGTGCCCCACGCCGCCCCCTCCCGCCCCGCTCCCGTGCCCCGGCAGCCGCCCGAGGGGCAGCACCAGCTGCAGCGGATGCAGCAGGACTCGCTTTACCTCAGCGGCAGCAGCGGTGGCAGCAGTGGCAGCAGTGGCAGCACCGGTAGCAGCGGTGGTAGTGGTGGCAGCAGCGGCAGCAGCAATAGCTGCAGCAGTAGCTGCAGCAGGAGCGGCAGGAGCGGCGGGGCCGTCACCACCTCCCTCCCACGGGCGGGCAGGCAGCAGCTACCGCCGCGACGCCCCACTCTCCGCCGTGCGCCCGTCCCACCGCGCTCTCGACCGCGCTCGCCGCCTCGGTGCCTCGGCGGTGCCGTGCCCGCCGCCGGCTCTGCCCCCGCCCCGCCCCCGGCGCCTTCGCCAACCCGCTCAGGCACCGCCTTCCGCGGCCGCTGACTGACGGCGGCACCGCCCGCCCCCCGCTCCGCGGGGCCTCGGCGCAGCCCGGTGCGGGGCCCGGGCGCCGCTGGGTGTCCCGCAGCGCCCCCGCCGTGGCCAGGGGCATTTGGGTCGCCGTCGGCGAGCTTCGGGCGCGGCGCTCAGAGATGCCTGCAAGTCTCGGGCGCCGCCTCAGCCCGGGGACGCCAGTCCAGGCCGGGAGGCGGCAGCGAGAGGAGCACGTGCTTCTGGCTAGTTCCTCGTTGGGGAATTTCCTCCTCTCTTTTCTTTCCCGCCCCCCGCCCCGTGTTAAGGTGGTGTGTGTCACGCTGGCGAAGTGTGAAGTTGGTGAAGTCCAGAACAAATCCGGCCACGGCGGGCCGCGGATGCCCGGCTGTGTGTGGAGCAGGGCCGTGCAGTACAGCCGGCTGTCCTCCCTCGATAGACTGTCCGGGACTCCCGCCGCGACACTGCTTGGTGGCGGTGTGGATTTGACCCCACACGGGTGTTAAAGAGCCCTGCAAGGCTGTGTACTTAAAGGTCCAGGACCCAGACCCTGGAAGATGGTTAAAATGCCTTCAGTGGTCTACCTGGCAACCTAGAGACACAGAATTGCTTTTTAAATTGGTACTTCTTTTGGAGTAGAGACTGTTGTTTGTATACAAGTAAAAACATTGCTATAATTTAAATAGTGAACAGTAAAATTTTTGAGGAAAATGTCGGCTCATACAGGGATTTTTTTTGGGGGGGGTGGTGGAGGAGGGAGGTGGGTTTGTGGGATTGAAAATGCAGGCAGAAGCAGAATTAAGAAATAATGTTTCATTTCTTCTGTCCAGACTACTGTCTCTGGCATTTGCTAATGCTGAAGGCAAAAACAGCATGGATTTTGGAGGGGATTAGGCAGACTGGCTGGTTGGAATGCCAGTCCTGGGCACTGGTCTAACAATGGGTATTTAGGGGAAATAAAGATCTCCAAAGTAGCATTTCCCAGCTGGTGAGACTAGACTTGTCCCACAGGTGAAATGCAGGGCTAGAGTCCATGTCTGTGCTCCCTCCCTGGTATGGTATCCCTCAGTGGAGGGAAAAGTCTCTCCGGGAAGTTCAAGGATCACCTCCTCGCTTCCCCTCTACCCCTCCAGGGTGTGTGGGTCTGCTTTTTTGACGAGTTTTCTTCCCTGAACCTGACTTTTGATTTCACCTTGAGCATCTAACTTGGGGCTTTCTCTGTCAATCAAAGAAAGAAAAGGGCCCAAAAGAGGTAGGCAATAGCAGCATGTAACTTTGATGCTTCCCTTGCTGGCTTTGCTGTCTTGTCTGTTGTGACTTCCGTCTCAAGGTCATTCCAGCTCTTTCTCACCTCTTTCCCCACAGATCCCAGCAGTATCCCAGTGTTTCCAGGAATAATTTCCTATGTTTAATCTTGGTAGGTGAAATTTATACTACAAGGTTTGCCCTAGGAATGTTGCAAAGCAGTACCCCAGGAGACAGAAAGGAGAATGCACAAATTGAAAACCATGTTCCTTCTTCTATCAGGTACTTTTCAGAGGGTCTTAAGGACTCCATAAAGCTTTTGCATATTAAGTTTACAGTGGACTTTAATGCATGTAGATGTGTTTGATTAGTTCTAGGTTTGTTGAGAAGGATATTCTTGAGAAATTGAAAGGTTAAGTTATTGAGGCAGCATGTAAACAGGAGGGATTTTCAAGGCAACGGTCAGTGAAAAGCAGGACAAAAGGGTAAAATATGGGTGAGAGGGCAGGATCATCAAGGTACAAGCCATACATACATGTTTTTGCTAAGACAACTGTAGTCTCCATCTTTCAGGAGACCTTTTGAGCATTTCTGCTAGAAGCTGCTTAGGAGAAAGTAATAAAAAAGTGAGCAGCTTCTTTTTTCAGTACTAGTAGCAGCTGGATGATATGAGCCTTTGCATCTTATGTCTGTGTAAGCTTTCTGTGGTAAAGGTCATGCAGCACTGGAGAGGATCTACACTGGAAGCTCCCTTTCCTCTAGGAAAAAAGTTCAGCTAGATCTTACAAAGGAAATTTTAAAGTATGGAAACTGAGAGGAAAAAAATGTGCTCATCAGAGGATTTGTGGGGAAAGCAGAATTTCCAGAGTTTAGGATCTCTTCCACTTCAACTAACAAACTCAATTTTTTTTTCTTTACTGACACATTTTAAACAGGAAGATTTCCTTCTTATAGGATGTCAAGGCAAATCCATTTGTGAAGTAAGATGCCTAGATTAATGGACATTGTTAAGTTCGTGGTTGGACTCAATGATCCTAAAAATCTTTTCTAATCTAAATAACTCTATGATTTTACCAGTGCTGAATCTGGTCTCCTGGGGCAGATAGACAAAGGTGGAAGAGACTGTGCAGAGGAGTTTTACTGCAATATACCTTAGGTGTGATGAATGCTAATGGCACATACCATTTACTAAGTTCAGAAGAGGGTCCTGTAACTTATTACATATTATCATACCATCCTGCAGCAGTGGGGTTTTCAGGTAGCTGATTTCAGGGAAGGAATTGGAGGAGAATCAATGCATACATCCATTTTACTCCCAAAGATGAAAATTATTTCATACAGTGTAGTTATACTGTTCTACTAGCACACATTGCTAAATGACTCATGTAAAATTCCCGAAGGAATGGGAGTCACGGAAACAACATGAAAAACTATCCATAGTTATTGTAGAAATGAATTAAATGCAAAATAAGTACAATGGATCACAAGAAGGACAAGCATCAGAGACTGTGAATGGTGATGTTTTCCTGCCATAGCCAGGACAAGGAAACATTGCTCTTCAGAAATGTAGTTTTAAGTGTGTTTCAGAAGTCAAAACAGCACCATGAAAAGCAAATTCCTTCATTGCTTAAAAGCTTTCTAGCATGTAAGGGAAAAGAATGAGCTAAAAATAAGACAGAGAAATTCAGGAAATAAAGAAGCAAAACTTGCTATCTCGTTACGAATCAGAGAAGTAAGCCTGACAACTTTCATTTTAAAACTGGAAGGAGGCTGATTAGCAGCATGCTAATCATGCTGGGCATCACAACATGATTTGGTTTGAATTTATTTCTGTTCTGTGGGAAGGATAGAATGGTTTCTCTCTGGCCAAAACTCTGACATCAGCAATAAATTTGGATATCTCAGCTAATCAGACAAATCTGCCTTAGATATTTCTACTTTATATTCATGTCATGGTTGACATCTAAGGCTGTTTTCCACTCTTCAAGATACAATGCACCTGAAGAGGCAATGGAATCTCCATCATTAAATGTTTTTTAGGAAGGTAGCCATATATCTGTCCAGCTGAGACAATGGTTGTCCTGACTCAGCCAAAGACAGGTGGCCACTGGAGGCCTTCTGCGATTCTATAAGTGGACATATATAGAAATTATCAGAAGCAGGCACAAACCTTGAGAAATTATACTTTCTCTTAAATAAATTTTCCCATGAGAATCAAAGCAGCTCAAAAGTTGCTCCCCCAGCTTCCACCCGATATCTGAAAGATGATGACTGCAATCATAAAACAAATAGGGCCTTGCTTCTGCAATATGATCTTTTAGGAAGGAATTTCTCCAGTCTGCTTTAGATCACATTTTTAAAACACAAAAGTAGTGGGAAATAAGATTTTTGTGTGCTAATCACATCTAGGAAATACTTTGTGTTTGTGAAAAGTCTTCAATATATTTTGCTTAAAAAAACCCCCAAACTATTTTCAGTTGTCTGAAAGTTGACTTTTTATTTAATTTTCTTCTTTAGTCTCATAATTTTGACTAAATGTATGAAAATATGCATTTTGTCAAGAAACTTTTTAAAATATGTAAGGATTAAGAAATGTAAATATACCAAGTTTTTCCATGTCTGAAGCACAGCATAATTGATAAAATAATGTTATAAATATAATATCTGCAAATGCAACATCTGTGTTTATCTTTCAACCATATAAAATTACATAAACAAAGATTCTGCTTTTTATGAAATCTATGAGTAATTCCTCCTCTGCTCTTTCAGTGCTTGTATGCTAAATGATAGAAAAGTCAGGTTTGACAGCCATGTAAAACTCATGTCTTCAGTGTAGACAAGTGATGCAGAGTGAACAGAAATTTTAGGAGTTTTCTCAGGCATTGCATCATTTTTGCACTGACATCTATACCGACATTTCAGCTCTGTCTGAGTAAGACTGCTAGGAATAATAAGACCTCCATGTGTAATAATGTACCTATATATCCAGGGAAATTTGTAACTACATTTTCTATTGAGACTGTTTTCCTAAAGATTTGTAGTTTTTGATATTGACCTGATCACAGGAAAATTTTAATTCTGCAGAAATAAACTCAGAAAAGGATGATGTTCAACTTAAGTTGAGACCATTTAGTCATTTTGTATCAGTTTTTACAGAGTAAAAGTTGTGCCCTTTCTTCAATAACATCAAGGTGGAAGGTGTCACATATTGTTACAATTTTCTGAGATATCCTGGACCCTTAAATCAATTATTCAGAGGAGTCACTTATCACAGTACATCTCAGTATAGGTATTTGATAGGTGGTACGCTCCCTTCTCTTTCAAAGTGGATAAGATGCAAGACCCAGCGTCAGAAAGCTTGCCAATTTAGATGTGTTTTTGTAGAGCCTGTGAAACACACTGCAATATGTGCATGAATAATCCAGATTCTGCCAGGCAGGAACATGTGCTGTTGCTCCTACATAAAATGCATCTAAAGTGACATATCCAGCAATTACACTACTAGGAAGCAAATACAAAATTAGGGTTCATCCTGTGAAGCTAGTAGGAATTCGGGGTCAAAAGGAAAGTGTATTTAGTATCCCCTTGCTTCCTGGACTAGGAAAGGAGGTGGGGTTTTTTGTTTGTTTGTTTGGGTTTTTTGTTTGATTTTTTTTGGGGGGGAGGGGTGTTTGTTTGGTTGTTTGGTTTAGTTGTTTGTTTTGTTGCAGTGATAAATAAACGATTTATTGGTGTTTAAACTGATGGGTCAGAGCTATCGTATTTTTAAAATCTGAGAGAAAGTTACAATGTGATTAATTAGATGTATCAATGCATTCTACTGCTAACTAAGGGTGCAGCCCCAAAATTTCAAGCTTTTTATTGCAAATATTGTCACACAACATGACAGTTGTCA